CGCAGCGCACGGCGCCGACTGCACCGAAGAAACTCATCAGCAATATCAACACGAAACCAGATACCATAGAAAATATAAACGAGATGCTTATCATGGCAACGCTCAGGAACACCAAGCAGACGAAAACGAGGATTTTACGCAGCAAAATCAGGAGTTCGGTCAAGAGTCGCAACAATTGAAAGATTTGACACAGCAGAGTGAACAATTTACACAACAGACACAAGGATCCGATGATTTCACGCAACAAACGAGTGGTAAGCTTGAACTCAGCCAACAAACTGTTGATAATCAGCACTTGGATAATTTAAAGCAGCAAAATGAACAATTCACACAACAGACGGAAGGTCAACTTGAATTTGGCCAACAGACTGTCGATAATCCACATTTAAAAGATTTAACGCAGCAGAGTGAACAATTCACACAGCAGACGGAGGGTCACCTTGAACTCGGCCAGCAAACTGTTGATAATCAGCATTTGGATAATTTGAAGCAGCAAAGCGAACAGTTCGCGCAACAGACGGAAGGTCAACTTGAATTTGGCCAGCAGACTGTCGATAATCCACACTTAAAAGACTTAACGCAGCAGACTGAACAATTCACGCAGCAGACGGAAGGTCAGCTTGAACTCGGCCAGCAAATTGTCGATAATCAGCATTTGGATAATTTGAAGCAGCAAAGCGAACAGTTCGCGCAACAGACGGAAGGTCAACTTGAATTTGGCCAGCAAACTGTCGATAATCCGCATTTAGAAAATTTAACGCAGCAGAATGAACAATTTACACAAGGGCATGATCATCTCACGCAACAAATGAGTGACAAACTTGAATTCGGACAACAAACCGTTGATAGTCAACATTTAACACAGCAAAGTGAACAACTTACGCAGCAGACGGAGGGACAGCTTGAATTTGGCCAACAAACTATCGATAATCCGCATTTAAAAGATTTAACGCAGCAGAACGAACAGTTTACACAACAGACACAAGGACTTAATCATTTCACGCAACAAACGAGTGGTAAGCTTGAATTCGGCCAACAAACCGATAGTCATCATTCGGATGATTTAACACAACAAAGTGAACAATTCACACAGCAGACGGAGGGTCAACTTGAATTTGGCCAGCAGACTGTCAATAACCCGTACTTAAAAGATTTAACGCAACAAAACTCCGACGGTTTTAGTCAACAAACGAGTGGTAAACTTGAATATGGCCAACAAATCATTGACAATAATCAGCATTTGGAAGATTTAATGCAGCAGAATCAACAGTTTACACAACAGACACAAGGATCTGATGATTTCAAACAACAGACGAGTGGTAAAATTATATTTGGACAGCAAGCTGATGCTCAACAATTAGAGCAATTTACACAGCGAACAGCAAGATCGGATAATTTAACTCAACAAACTCAACTAGATAAACATGAATTTAGACAGCAAATTAATAATCAACATCTAGAAAATCCGTTACGGCAAAGTGAACAATTTGCACAAACACTGAGATCGGATGATTTTACACAACAATCTGTTGGTAAACTGGAATTCGGTCAAACGCAATCAATAAATAAACCTGCCAAACCGAAAAGTCAACGCTTGGAGGAATTCAATGAGCAAAATCAAGATTTCACTCAACAGACGGGAGGATTTGATGATTTTACGCAACAAATAGGACACTTAGAATTTGGACAACTACAACAACCAAAAGACAGCAATCATCATTTGGAAGATTTCACTCAACAGAATGAAGACCTAACTCAACAGACTGGAGGATTCGATGATTTCTCACAACAAATAGCAGGACATTTGGAGAATTATGGACAACAAAGAGAACAACAGCAGAGACCTAGCTGGCCGGGATATAATACACAACGCTTGAAACATTATTCAACACAACAAAATGATTGGAATACAGACGATCTTTTGCAACAATCGCGCCAATATTCAGCTTATAACAAAAATAATGAACAACTCGAATGGCAATTAGAACAAACGTTACAAAAAACAAATTTCGAACAAGATTTTCTTCAACAAACCGATCAAGATCAAATAACAAGTGATGTAAAACCAGCACCAAAACCAAAACCAAGACGACGATATCAGAAACACGATTCTATTCCGCCACGTACAGATAGAACAGACACAATTATTGATGATGTTTTTAAACCAGTTGAAGTAAATCCGGAGCCTGATATAGACAACTTCCGTGGAAGAATTATCGAATCTGGCAGTCGCGCAACATATCCTGAATCCAATCATCATACATCGACGACATTGTACTCGACTCAAGGAAGCAGCGCATTTCACAATCAAAGGGAAAATATGGATCGTTTACATTGGGTGCATAATTCAAATGATGCTACGGTAGGTTTGCAGTGGCATTATACTTATCATCCAAGTGACTTAACTAACGTCGAAGGTTCACATGACAATTATTATCCCCGTCATAACGTTAACTCAATGTCGCAACAAACAGAAGATACACAACAATCTAAACCAATTGATTTTCATCAACAAGAAACACAAGACAAGGACAGATTAGAAAATAAGCATCAAAATTCGTACATTTCTCAATCATCGGAACATGATAAATATAATCAACAATCAGGATCATCTCAACAAAGTGAAACGTTTCGCTTTGACGATCAATTTAATCAAGATTCTGAACAAATCGCAAGAGTTATTCCACTGCAACGCAATGAAAAGGCTCAATTGATTCTAGAACAAGAGAAACGGTCGGTGTCAACTACCGAACAAACAGAAAATAAACCAGAGTCACGAATCTTACAAGCGTATGGCGGAGGGCCATATGATGCATCGCGTAGTGATGACTTTTATATCAGAATTAGACCGAATCCCAATGCTACCTTACCACCTATTAGTGGTGATGATCCATGGGACATCAGAGAAAAACCAAGAGAAGCAATAATACCACGATCCACAGTGCGTAATACACAAGAATATATAACTACAACAGAAGTGGCAGAAACAACAGAGATAACGCAGTCGACAACTCAGCCATCCTTTTGGAGCAGAGTTGGTCATAAAATAACTAGTACATACGACAAAGCCAAGGAAAAAGCTAAAGAGATCTTTGGCTAGATATTATATCCTTATTTAAGAATTACTTATTTATGCACGGAAAAATTTCTTTCGCATTCTAAGTTGAATTGTTACATTTATTTATGATGTATTTACAGTTACCAATAAAATCAAAGCGAATTAGGAATGAAACTCATAAAAAAACATCATAACTTTAATTAATAACTTTAATTAATATTCTGAATTAGTATTATAAAACATTATTATTGTAAAATTAAGACGACTTTCGTATTTTATAGAAATATATATTTTCTTTTCTAATAGGAGTGTTATTATATCTATTTCTGTATAGAAAAATAGAAAAATTCATCATTACTACACTTATTTTTATGTAAATGCTTATTTACATAAATCAATTATTTTCATAAAACATTACCATTTCATCAAAGACAACAACAAATACAAAAAAATTACAAATACAAAAAAAAATACAAATAAAAAAATCTATTGAAATTGAATCCTTCTGTTTTATTAATTCTTTATTCATAATTATATTCTAATAAAAGATATTGATGATAAACTAAATTATAAATATTCTTTAATAGAAATATTTAAGTAATCCTTAAAAAACCAGCTGTTTTATAAACCATATTTCAGGATATAATTATTAAAATATATTTAAATATTCTGATAATCATCTCATTCTTTTTATCATAAAGTATTTCAGTTATTCTATAAATATAAAATATTTTATTTTTTAGATTCATTATAAATTAATAGAATGATTTATTAAATTAAGATTTAAAAATATTTAAATCCATATATATATATATATGTCAAATATATTCATTCCTTTGTAATT